CCCCCCCCCCATCTGATGCAGGTGGGGCAGAGGAGAGGGACAAGGTTCCCCAAGGCAGGGCCTACGGGGTGAAATGGGGGCAGAGTGCGGGTGAGGGGCCCTCTGCCCACAAATGGTTGTGGTTTCGGGTTGGCCCCCGCCCCACCCCCAACCCCAGCACCCAGGACCCCGCACAGCACTCGGTGCTAAGTCGGTGCCCAATAAACACCGTGAATGGTCAGATGGCTGCTCCCGTGTCTGTGTCCCGGCAAGACCCATTGACCCGGTCAGGATCCTCTTGCCCAGTGGATGGCAGAGGCCTCCGGGCCCCAGGTGTGCTGGCCCCCAGTGCTTGTGGGCAGGCATGGCGGGGGGGCTGGGGGGGATGGGCCGGTGGGGGGGGACTTCCTGGCTCCCTGACTCACGTCTTCCCAGGGTGACTGCATCACTGGCGGGGAACACGGGGAATTTCCAGGTGCTGCCGACACGCCCCCCCCTTTGGAAGCAGCCGCTTCTATCACCTGCCATCCCCGTGTTCCCTGGGGGCCCGTCCTGCGTGCCCATCCACCCATGTGAGGCCCTGTGGTGGGCTGAGGTGCCAGCTGGCCGCACCTGGGGGCCAAGCCCCCCTCACAGCCCCAGCAGAGTCACCTGCGGGCACGGCCCAGGCTCGTGGGATAGGCTAGGGTGCCAGCGGCCGGCCTGCGGAGGGTGCCCAGGGAGGATGTGTGCGGGGTGGCAGGGTGGGCTAGTGTCACGGGAGCACGGGACAGGGAGGTGGCAGCCTGGCTCTGGAGGCTCACCCTGTCCCCAGTAGCTCAGGGCACTCAGGCTTGGCCCGTCACGCAGGGCGTGGGGGACCCCGAGGGCACGGGTCCTGGAGACGCCAGGTGGAGACTGCTGTTGGTCAGCGTCTGGGAAGGGGTGCTGGGCCGAGGGCTGAGAGCTGCCCCAAGGCCCCAGCGTATCATCTGTGTCAGACCCTGCCTGGGCCACCCCTGCGTGATCGGGCTTTGCTCACGGCTGTGGGGTGAAGCTGCACACGCCTCGTTCCTTTATTTCCCTTCGGGCAGCCCCAAGAGCCACGAGGCAGGGAGTAAGGTGTGACGATCCCATTGGACAGAGGTGGAGGCTGTGGGAAGGAGGGATGGGGCAGGACTCCAGGCCACTCACTTAAGGCAGGGCGTGGGTGGGGGGCTGCTGAGCCCCGGGGAGGTGTACTGGGGGTGCGAGGCTGGTGAGGGATGCAGTGGGCTGCTCCGGGGCAGGGGTGAGCACCCTGTCCCGTGAGGCATCCAAGCTGAGGCGGTTGGCTGGGGTGGCCCCGGTGGCCCAGAATTCTCAGAAGGAGCAGTGGGATGCTCAGAAAGGGAGGTGGGTGGTGAGCGAGCCACATCTGGGGTGTCCTGGCCCAGAGGGGTCCCCGGTTTTGGCGAGAGCAGATGGCAGGGCGGTGGAACTGGGGAGAGCCTGGGTGGGGCCGGGCTCGTTCTCTGCTCTGCGGTGCTGTGTGGCCCAGGCAGGCCCCCGCCGCCATCCAGTCCCGGAAGGGGGCCCCTCCGGGGCGCTGACCGGAGGCACAGCCCCAGGACCGGGAGCTCAGCCCTGTCCTGGCGTCTGCACAGAGGAGACTTCTCAGTGTCCTCTACCTGTGGGGACTCAGCCCCTGAACCCACTGCTCAGACCATGTCTGTAGCAGCCAGGAAGGCTGAGGTGCTGGCCGACCCATCAGGTGCCCAGACTGCCAGCCTGGCCATGGGCCAGACTCCCTGCCAGCTCCCTCCCACCTGTTCCCCTTGCCTGGCTGTCCATCCACCTGTCCTGAGCCTTCAGGTTGACATCCCGGTCACCCAGGCCTGCAGGGTGCCCCAGGGTCTGACAGATCTGGGGTATTAGGGCCTAGGCCAAGGCCAGGGCTAGGGGTCTCGTCCCTGCTCGGGCCTCAGCTCACGACGTGGCTTCCTTTGCCACGGGTCGGTGTCCCCATCTGCACAGTGGAAAATGAGGACACAGGTCAGGGTCAAGGCCTGGGAAGGTCCAGAGTATAGCAGAAAGAGCTGGAAGCGTGTCCATGGCTTAGACAGGTGTCGCTGAAGGTCAGCCCCCGGCAGCCCCCTCGGGAGGCTGGTGTAGATGTGAGCACGCGGGGAGGGAGGACAGAGGAGACACCGGGGCAGGCTTCTCGGAGGAAGAGGCACCAAGCTGGACCTGGCTGCTGGGAGGGTCTGGGTGCCTCTAGCCTTGCTGGTCAGTGTGACCTGAGCCCAGGAGTGTCACGACGGGTCCCGCCTGCCCAACAGAGATCTGGAAGGGTCTGAGGCCGGAGGTAAATGACCTGGGGTTTTGGGGTCACGGTGAGTGAATGGGGTTCTGATTTCACTGACTTAGCAGGTATGGGGGCTGGATGGACCCTCCAGACCCTATGCCCTTTCATC